GTATATGTGTGTTTGTGTGGCTGCTTGTACTAGTCCGGACTGATGCCGATTTATAGTGCTAGCTCACTGAGATACCATGCCGCAGTTTAACATGAATACCCCACTCAGGCACAGTATACTGACTCCGAGCCGACCAGTCCTCGTTTTAGCCCCTTATGCCGAGCGCCAGACAGGGTAACAACAAGTACCATCTTTTAACATCTTTTGGTATGACACGGCCGGGGATCGAACCCCGGACCTTCCGCTCTCCGGGAGGACGCTCTACCACTAGACCACGGAGGCGGTCGCAGTTGTCAGCAGATTGCAAATTGTGAACATGGGCATTTTAACTCGATGATTATTGAGATAGTTGTCAGGTAACATATCTGGACTCTTATACATACACATATGTTTATCTTTTATGAAGAAGCCATCAGCGACCTTCGAGAGGGGAGAATCGTGGTTACTAAGATTGGTTACAAAAAAAGTCGTAGGAAAGTTTTCAAGGGCATTGCTGATTATAATGTAGGGAGGGAAGGTTCATTCACGGACAATTCAGACCCGTTTGCACAAACAAGATTTCCCGGCGAGTTAGTCGGAAGACAGTCTGTGTGAATAGAACAGTCAACACATGACTTGCTTGGTATTCAGATCACAAAAGATGGTTGGTGGTCACTGGATTTTTATTTTTTTTTCAGTGATCCTGTTTTTGTATGGCGACCCGCAACTGAGGCCTACAAACACGACCGGAATGCATGTATCGGCCTTCCCAGCTGAAGATGTCTATTTATTCTGGGGACTCCTTGCAAAATTGATGGAACTATTAAAAAGATTGTCTTTGTTGCCATCTGCATGTGCAACGTTCCTAAATCGTATACATATGTTAAAGGCATCCTTATTCTGTAAATCCCCGCTTAGCGGGTTTCAAAGAATTTGACAGGTATAATATAATTGAAGCAAATATTGATCTGGAAAGACATTCTTGGACACAGTAATGATACATGTTCGCTACATAATTCTTATGACTACAAATATCACTGACGCATTCAAGTTAAACACTTTATAAGCAATGTATTGTTCAGATTATTAAGACATTATACCTAAATAAATTAATTATTCATCTCGTTTTCTGCGTGTTTCCTGTTTTCTGAGTATAGTGTTTATTTGTTATTTAGCGCTACAATCAGCAATATTCCACCTAAATGACGACGCCGCCTGTACATAATTGACTCTGGGATAGTCTCATCTATTTTTGATGAGAGGAATGTATTGTGTAATAAGATTTCATAGACCATATGTAAGTCTTTAGCCCACGATGCATTGGTGTCTGCGTAACCGGCAAATGAACATACCGTGTGCACTAAGCAACCGATTATTTATTTACGATGATTAATGAGGGTAAGGCGGTTCATATTCTTTTTAAAATGTATATGTTTTAAACACATTTATTTCACAAATTGTGTGAACCTGGATTGGTAAGCAAATAAAGACATATCAATACCTCTCCAGGTGGGGCGGTCGGGTAGCCTAGTAGTTAAAGCGTTCGCTCGTCACGCCGAAGACCCGGGTTCGATTCCCGACATAGGTACAATGTGTGGAGCCCATTTCTTGTGATAGTGCTGGAATATTGCTAAAAGCGGCGTAAAACCGTACTCACTCACTCACCTCTCCAGGTGTCCATTTCCATAAAGAATAGACTTTTGATCATTACCTTTTAAACAGTTTGTTCGTTTAGTAAATATTGTCAACAAAAAGCGATTTTCAAATATTATTATTATTGTTGCCACACTGTCACGTAGTTATAACAATGTGTTTAATTTCATTTAGTGCTTCTCACTAAATGGGTTTATTGAAACCATAATGCACCTCTTTGTTTATCTCCTTCCGTCATTTCCTCTTACAATATCCCGCCACTTACGTCATAATTCTACTTCCTATGATGTCATCAAACTTTCTCTTGCGTCATCACCATCTTCATCACCATCATCCGTTAGTTCTGTCAAAATTTTATGTACCCAATTTTGTACAGCTATTCTCAACTTTTGGTTCCCACCCACCCTACCCCTAGCCTGCCACATTCATATTCTCTCTAATCAATCTTGTGTACATATATGGCTCAGGGCAAACTATGTATATTGCTTATTTATTCAATAAATGTTATAGGTGGGCGTGGTTCTTGTGGGCTACCAATGTAAATACTTAATCACCAAGTAATCATCAAAATTATCAGGTCCCTGCTCATCAGCGGGAATCTGTTCAGTCCCTCTGCTTCTCAGCGGATGGGAACCTTTAGGCTTAACTTAATTCATGTCTGCTTTTCAGCAGAAACTTAGTATTTTGCTGCTGGCAACATAGTTGCCCATTGCTGCTGCTTGCTGGTAACTCAAGTTGCCAAATATAATTCATTATTATAATAGCTTAGGGCAGCCCACAAGTCCTGCCACACCTATGACCTTGAACCCAACATATGCCTTTCTTATTTCTCTTGCCTTGTCAACTTTGACAAGGCAGGTTACTTTGCATGGGGTGTTTCAATAATCGGATTTATTACATTGTTCACGGAATTATCAAAGCACACTTACACGTCATGAGTCGCAGTTAACTTAAGTTCGGTGTAATTTGCGTTATTCTTTGGTTTTATGTTCCCGGAAACGGAAACGCTTATCCGCTTTCTAAGAATTGCATAAATTCTTTGAAAGTGAAATTAGGAGTTTTTGTTATGATCGTATAGAACCATGCTTATAATAAAAGTACATGGTTTATTAATTAAATACATGTGAAATAAGATACCAAATAGATAAGAAAATAGTTTGTCTAAGTAAATAAACGGTATTCTATGTCACATGTAACAGGATGTTCGTTCCAGGTGGCAATAAATTCTATACAAGACTAAAGTTTTTATGTGGTAAAGTGGAGATACACTTGCTGAGACAATTCACAACTGAAACCAACAAACAACCAAACACAACTGAAACCACAGTGTTAATATGTTGCTTTATTGCTGGGTGCGGCGTTAAACAAAACAAAACAAAAATATGTTGCTGCTAGACAAAAAACAGATAGGGGAGACACGGGTGCCCCAGTCGCCTAAGGAACCGCATTTCACTGTGCAGAGTTGCGTCCCTTGGTCATGGCAGAAAGCTATGATAGTGGGTTCGAATCCTGGTGCTTCCCGATTGTGTTTCTATCCATTTTGCCTCAGGTCTTCCCAAAAGAAAACAACAACATTTGTTCTCTTGACATGGCCGGTTAGCACTTAAAGTAACAGCCAGGTGACCCTGTCGTCTAAGGCACCATATCCTTCTGTGCAGGGTTGTGTCCACGATAGGCCGTTGATTGTCAGCACCTTATCCGTGCTCGTGGGTTTCACCTTAAGAACTGACTTTCACTTTGTGTGAGTTCAGGAGTATGTGACAAACTGTATGAACGTCGGAGCTTCAAGACTACCGTCTTGTGAAAAAACGTATGAACGTCAAATTGTGTCTCGTCCAATGGAAAAGCCATATATCATGTAAACTTCACATTAACAAATTATAAAGTGGTAAACGTCTGAGACCTGCATCACTTCGGGCTTTCCTCCCACATTAAGTTGACACGCCGTGATATAACTGAAATACTGTTCAAAGCGGCGATAAACCCAACTCACTCTGTCACAAGGATAGTGAGTGAGTGTGGTTTTACGCCGCTTTAGGCAATATTCCAGCAATATCACGGCTTCACACCTTGTACCCATGTGGGGAATCGAACCCGCGTCTTCGGCGTGACAAGCGAATGCTTACTCACTAGGCTACCCCACCGCGCCCAACTACGATAGTAGGGGACCTACACGTATGCAACGGTTCCTTCATTGTGGTCATAATGTGTTAATGTTTTTTTACTCCCAAAACAGTAGTCACCCATCCATTTACAGTACGTGTTCATATCATATCATAGCAGTCATTTTATCCATACAATCCACATTATACTCGGCTCTGATACTACTCAGCAACGGTACGGATGGCCCAGTCGCCTACAGCGCCGCAGTTGGCTGTGTGGTCTCTGGGGTACGTCAGAAATCTATGATCGTTGGATCGAATCTTGGTTCGCCCCGATTATGTTTCTAGATCTGTCAGCGCCATATCCGTGATCGTGGGTTTCACCAAAGTGGTAAACGTCTGAGACTTGTATCACTTCGGGTTTTCATCCCAATTTAGCTGACACGCCGTGATGTTCTGGAAAACTGCTCAACTGCTCGCTCGCTCACTCTTACCGCTCTTTTAGCGCTCCATTAACCTGGATCACTCAGTGAGTGCATGTTGTTTACACCACAGTCGACAATGTTCCAAGCTATGTCTCATCGATCTGCAAATAATCGAGTCTAAACCTGGGAAAACTATTATTTACTCCGTCAGGATACAATGACACACAATGAAACAGGTCACATAGTGTAACCACCCGATTCCCTCTTGTGGGGCCCTTACGCCACGAGGGCGGTCGAGTAGTCTTGTGGTTAAAGCGTTCGCTCGTCACGCCGAAGACCAGGGCTCGATTCCCGACATGGGTACAATGTATGAAGTCCATTTCCGGTGTCCCCCGCCGTGATATTGCTGGAATATTGCTAAAAGCGGACTGTGACTAGTGAAAGCGTTTAACGCCTACATGTCTATCGCTCGATGTTACTACTTCCATTGGTTTGTGGACAGTTGTGACCGAACTTGAAACATATGTATACCGGTCGATAAGTACTTTCATTGGTTTGTAACCAGTTGCCACCGAACTTGAAACATATGTATACCGGTCGATAAGTACTTTCATTGGTTTGTAGCCAGTTGTGTCCGAACTTGAAACACATGTATACCGGTCGATAAATACTTCCATTGGTTTGTAACCAGTTGTGTCCGAACTTGAAACACAGGTATATCGTTCGTTTAAATAAAACGCTTTCAACAAGTTTCAAAAAGCCAGATACATTTTGTATTCATTTACAACGCTTGAAATCGGCGTTGTGTATCTGCAGGGACCATGTGTAAAGTGCACCGCTTTTGCAGGTCAGCTGACTGCTCACATGACATCACTACTTCGGAGGTAAACAATGGCTTCATCAGTGGGTACGGGTTTACGTTACAAAGACAAAGTGACTATCGTAACAGGCGGTTCGAAGGGGATAGGCAAAGGATGTGTAGAAGTGTTCGGTGAGTACATTGTCACTCCAGTGATAGCAATCTGTTTAGATTTTGGAGTGTATCAAGCGTTGATGCCGAATCGTACTCTTGCTGCAAATGCCTTTCCTAACATAGACCTTAGACTCGACTGATACGCAGCGACATACGCCAACTGTCGCTCTACACCGCTCTTGCCAGCTGACGATCAGCTGATTCTCCTGTTTAAGTGTCTTTGTCTTGCAGGTCAATAATAGCTTCCCAACATAAGTGAAATAGATCGGTATAGATAGCATGGTATAATGCATTATAGCATTTGAAAATGTGGGGTGTTCTGAGATTATCATTACGATTCTAACTTATAGGGGATTCTGTCCTGTTTCAATGTTTGTAATTTGTGTGGCGATTTCTATTTAAAATGTGTACGTATTCCACCGTTTGGTAGCTCTCTGCGGGCTTTCTTTGCTAGGTCTGAATATCGTTTCACACTTTATATAAGGACATGGCTCAATTATGACAGGCTCCGCTATCATGCATGATAGCTGAACTTGAAATTAAGACAAGAGATATTATTGGATGAAATGGTCGCGGATGTGGAGGTACTGGTGGACTGCAGAAATGAGTTTAACGTACCCCTGTTAAGCAACCCCAACTGCTGCAACTTCTGCCTTGCAACATCCGTTGCCAAGCAACCCATGTTGCTTACCGATGCAGCATCCCCTGCCTTGCAACAACTGTTGCCAAGCAACCCATGTTGCTTACGGATGCAGCATCCGCTGCCCTGCAACAACTGTTGCCAAGCGACCCATGTTGCTATGCAGCTAGCGCTGCCAGGCAAGTACCATTGCCAAATCATGAGCGAGGGCAACTATTGTTGCCAAGCTGACCATCCACTGTAAAGCAGACACTAAGCCATCTGCTGTAAAATTGGATAAATTGGTTCCTGCTGTAAAGCGGGCAACCCTATCCTATATAATTTATAAGATTTGGGATGTATCCCAAGACGCCAAATGTAACTTGTAATGCAGTCCACCAGCATCCCGCCCATCCGCAACATTTTATTCGTGACGACATCATTATATCCAAACATAATGCTCCTCTAAAGTTCCATCAAATTGACAACTGCAAAGCTTGAATACTTGGAATTAAGGATAACAGGGTGGGTGGGTGCAACAAATTATAGATGAATGCGAGAATATAACTATGTGTTCAAAGCTGAAAGCTGGAGAGCAAGTGCTGCGTGAGCTGATGTCACGCTACAAGCGGTCATAGAAAATATAAACAAACGCTCCTATACCAAGAGCGGATCTAGGCCAGAGACGATGGCACCATGCAAATCAGCACGTAGCCGCACGGAATGAAGGTATTTAGCTGTAATAATATTAGCAATGGTGCCAAGCCTGACATAAAGACATTTAGTTCTAATCACTAAATGCTATGAAGTCCATAATATTCCAGCAGTGACGTGGTTGCCTGGGCCAGGTGATCCATGGGTCGATAACATGAGCAAACAAGGTGCTTTGCTGTACAATTGCGATTAAAACTAATGCTGCTCTACAACTGCAAGCTGTTTGCTAAAAAAAAAATTCAGTGAAGCAATCAATGAAAGCAAATGAAATAAAAAAAGTTGCTGTGTTCAAATGTAATTTTTTGTTGTGAGTTGTCATTCCCCGAAAAGGCGACTTTGCTTGTCGTAAGAGGCGACTAATAGGATCGGGTGGTCAGGCTCGCTGACTTGGTTGATGCATATCATCCTATCACAATTGCATGGATCGATGCTCATGATGTCAATCACTGGATTGTCTGGTCCAGACTCGATTATTTACAGACTGCCGTCATATAGCTGGAATACTGCTGAATAAACCCCCAAAAAACCATTCCCGAACAGCATGGGACTCTGCAAATAAAATATCAGTCATTGATTTGTCTGGTCCAAACTCGATTATTAACAGGCCAATGTGATACTGCTGGAATATTGTTCAGTGTGGCATTGAACATTGAACATTGAACATTGAACAACAAACAAACATAAATGCTAGATATACCTCTAATATACAATGGTATGGAACCAGTATCACACTACAGTACTTCCTCTTTCATTTCAGTGAAGAATGGATCAAATGTTGTATTCTGCTGCAGGGGAGGTATGTTGTCAACAAATCATTCAGTCTTTTTTGTTTGTATTTTTGTTTTATGTCAATATCCCAATTTTTGCTTTAACAAATCTTGCGCTTGAGGGGAAATGCAAAGCTGGATAGTTGCTGTATTTGGATGGTTGACTGTGAACATGGTGTAGGGAAAGCTGCATGTTAATTGGTTTTGGATGGTTGACTGAGCGTAGTGAAGGGAAAGCTGCATGTTAATTGTATTTGGATGGTTGACTGTGAACGTAGTGAAGGGAAAGCTGTGCATAAATAGTGTTGGATAGTTGACTGCAACAGATAGCTGGGAACATGAAGAATGAACAGCACTTGGATAGATACCTGCGAAAGGAAAGGTGTCTGTGAACAGCACTCGGGTAGATACTTGCGAAAGGAAAGCTGTCTGTGAACAGCACTCGGGTAGATACTTGCGAAAGGAAAGCTGTCTGTGAACAGCACTCGGGTAGATACTTGCGAAAGGAAAGCTATCTGTGAACAGCACTTCAATGGCTGTCTGCACTTCAGTGGCCACTTATAGTTAACCATGGTAGCATGGATGGTTGACTGCCATTAGTGAGTGAAGTACCAGTTACTTTGATAAGCATCTCAGTTAACCAATGCATGACCACTTAAATTTGCTGTGTAGTACAATCTACTGACTACATTACATGTGTTTATAGTATCATATCGTGAAAATCAGTATTGATGACATCCCAGGATTGATAGTTATTGAAGCATCAGTATGAGGGTTTAACCAATGTTTTAACAGAATTTGACAGAATTAATCCCTCATTCCCCGCTTCCAAGCAAAGACTCGCACGCTTTTTCTGAGTCAATGGAAGTGACGTGACATAGCGCAAGATAACCTCAGCTCATTCGAACAACTGTTTTCTTTCAATTTGGAATTTGTTTGAATTCTTTTACATTGTCATCTCCAAACATGTCGGTAAGATGAATTCGTTGTGGCAGGATCACTCGGGGTACATGGGGTTTTATGCATCCCTTGTTAGGTTTTATACCACAAACTCCATGTTCCCTGAGTGATCATGCTACAACTTAAAATACTCGTGATCAATCTCTGGCATATTGCCAAGAGCTAGATAATAATCAGTTCAGAAGCATGCCTCCTTACTTTTCACTGAGATTGATAATACCTTTTTCAATTTCTAAATCCATGAACTTGACGAGTCCGACTGTGTATTAAGAACGTTTAGACATGTTCATTTCACAGGCTTGTCCAGTTTATTTGCCCAAAGTACTTTTAGACACTGGCTTCATGTAATAAACATCCAGATATTATTGTAAAAAAAATATGATCTCAAGCAACACCATTTTTGCCCTTCAGGCAATGGGAAATTATTTTAAGTGTGCCTTTACAACTTTAACTGTAGTGCTAGTGGCTAGGGCTGGGACGAGTCCAAATTTATGACCTGCGTACCTTACCCTCTATTACCCGACCCTACCCGGGTACCCACTGTCAGTCTCAAGAGTTGGGTATAAAATGTCTGATTGGGAATTATTTTACGACAGCCCTGGCAAAAAATATTTAGATACATGTATCAGAAGATCAGATCATGCATACACTGAAGTTGACTGAAGCTTTTTCTTTACTCCAATATATACATGTCAAAAGGAACGTGCACATCGTCAGAAAAAAATGCGAACATTAGTGACTTTTAGTGTAACCACTGAGTTATAGTGAGTTTTTGTCATTAAACAATATATCACATGACCAACCACGGGTCCGGGGAGTACTGTGGGTACCCAGGTCTTACTCAGGACCAACCTGACCCGAGTACCTGAGTTACCCATCCCATCCCTACTAGTGGCACGCTAATACAAGGAATTACGACCAGCGTGATCAGTAATGTAAGTTGTCGAGGTGTGGTGCAGAGTACATTCAAATGATATCACCCATACCAAGGAGATAACGTGATTGATAAAGACTTGATAATACATAGCATTGCATACATATTTATCAGGTGAAGAGTTCAGGACAACACCTGACAACATCCCTGGCCCGCAGGTTTGTGCGATGTCAGTTTGCCGTGCCGAGCTGGCCAGTCCGCTGGCTGTTGGTTGGACTGTGCCTTGTTCTTCGTGATCCCTGGCTTGTCAGTGCATGGCTTGCCAGTGCATAGCTTGTGTGTTTCACTCAAGTGATACGTGTTCGGCATTGTGTATGATGGATATTATCTATGAAAAACAAGATGAATCATGACTTATCGTGGTCTGTGTCAGTTCCACACTATATACATTGTTGTTATTAATTTATCACCATAAACACTTTCAAATAAACAAACTTGCCAGTTGGACAGCCTATTAGTTTAAGCGTTTGCTTTCACACCAAAGATCTGAACCCCCCCTCCCCCACAAATGAAAGATTCCGCCACTGAGGGGAATCCCCTTACTGGGGTTAAAACGAATTCCCAGTGTTTGACCTGCTGCATAATTTCAACGATCATGGCGATGGGGCCAACGCCCAGTCTGCCTCTTTAATACATCACTTCTTTTTTCTGTCTGCTCATCCATTTGATTACTGCATCTACAAATTACCGTGTTCGACGTAATAAGCGCCCACTCTAATAAGCGCCCATGGCGATATTTGCTGATATATTAGAAGTGAACAATCCCAATTAGCACCCCTTCTGATTGATCAATGTACACCAGACTTATTTATTCGTCTATAATACGCACTCATGTGTTATATGCACCCTTAATTATGGGCAATTAATTTTTGGAAAATGTATCTGTCGTGTATAATACGCACAGACTTTTCTTTTGTTTCATTCTAGGCTGTTAGCATAAACCAGGAAATTTACGATCTATCAACTCTGTTTTTTTTCCACCAAATTATATTTTAATAAAAGCCCCCTATTTCTAATTTTGAGAGTGCCCTGGGCGCTTATTACGTCAAATACGGTATGTCTCTTTAGTAACAACACTGATGAATACTCAGGGTATTAATCCCTGACAGGCATTTATTGTGTGGAACAGGCCCAAGGGCAGCTGGTGTTTTATGACCCAAAAGGGATGTTAACTTAGTAATAAAAAAATATTTACCAATTGTTTATTGTTATTTTTTCAAAATGTCAAGGTCAAGGGTAATTTCACAAGTTCAACAATGTATGCAATGTTGTTATTTTTGTAGGATTAACAGAAATAGCAGAAACAGTATTTGTATAACGGCTGAGAATCATAAGATAGATAAACGTGGCAAACATATATATAGCAACCAATGAAAACATTTGTCACCTCTGCACCAGTAGCTTTACACCCCCAAATACGTTTGTTTTGGAAGCCAATTTTGGAGTGTCCGATTTCAGCACTTTCACTTGGATATTTAAATACTTTCTACAAAAGTTCAGAATGTTTTTCTTTTGGACATTGCCTATGTCTAGGAAAATTGATATTCGCAACGAAATCGTAATCCTTTATTTTCACTTCACTTGCCCTTTTAATGAGTTTTGATAGTACATGTACTTATCTTTCATTGTCAATACTGAATGATACCTTTTTATGCTGAATATTGTCTTTTCATTATTCATTCTTCTGTGTTGTTTAGAGTCTGAGGGGAGACAACTGGAGCAAGAGCTGAATGCAGTGGGTCCCGGAGAGGCATATTTCGTCCCATGTGATGTGTCTAAGGAAGATGACATTAAGGTGGATTCTTAGTTGTGGCATAGTGTAATTATTCTCTAAATACAAACAGGTCAATATTGTTTAGCTTTTTGTATTATGAGAAAAGAATTGAACAGTAATTTGTACAGGGAAATACTTCTGGCCGAGACAACCGGGATTCGAACCCACGATCATATGTTTCTGGCATGCCCAAGGACGCAACTTTGCTCAGTGAATTGCGGCGCCTTGGATGACTGAACCACCCATGGCCACCTTGCCCTGATGATCATTGCTAGTGCAATCAACCATTTGTTTAGTAGGACAAGGCTGTATTAATACAGGGTGTTGTATTACACCTGAAATATTGCTCACTGTTGCCATAAACTACGTTTTCTCACTCACTGTGTGATGCCCAGAATGGGCCAAAACATCTTCCCGAGGCAAGCGAGTTAACTGACATTAAAAGTCCAGTTTCCACCCTTGCCAAACTAGGCTGGTATTATGGAGTTACATTTTAGCTGGACTAACGAGTCTATGCATAGTCAAATCAAATTCGCGCACTGAAATCGAAATATGGTTCCTAACCTGCCGTGCAGATTTCGGTCGATTGCAAGATTTGCAAAGCATGTTCGCCGCCAACTCGTTGTCAGCAGATATTTTCCAATTCTTTTCATGTTTTTAATCAAGGTGCTCATGTGATTTGAAGCATTTCGCGATGTAAGACTCGTTTTATCACAATAGAGATCTTGATTATCAATCAGATCGTCTTGACTGGGCGCCACCATTTTGTGTGAAGCAAACGCATGTGATACGAGAGGTGGAATCTGATTGGTCCATAGGAAAGGCTTAGAAGGGACATAACTCATAATAGCCACTGGTGGCGCTACGATCGAGCCCATTAGTTCCAGCCCAGTTTGGCAAGGGTGGAAACTGGACTTTTATAGTCATTTAACTCTCTTGCCTTGGGAAGATGGGGCCAATAATGTGATGTCTTTGTTCCCATTATTTGATAATTTACTGCTGCCAGACAAACTTACCCACAAACTTTGTTGCAGAACCTCATTGACAAGACTGTAGAAAAGTATGGTCGGATTGACTGTCTCATCAACAATGCCGGAAGCCGTGAGTTGCATCTTTTGCTGTATCATCAAGTGGTTGCTAGGGCTGGGACGAGTCCAGATTTACTAGCTGAGTACTCAACGCCCCATTACCCTACCCTAACCGGGTACCCGCTGTAGGTATCAAGAGATGGGTACAACATGTCCGATGGGGAAACGTGTGACCATAGCCCTGGCAAAATATATTTAGATACATGTAAAAAACAATCTGGTTATGCATACACTGAAGTTGACTGAAACTTTATCGTTATTCAAATATATGAAATTCAGAGGGAATGCATGCGTATTTAGAAAGGAATGCGAACATTAGTGACTTGTAGTGTGACCATGGAGTTGTTATTTTTGTCATTTTACAACATATCACCTGACTAACCACAGGTCCAGGTAGTTTGGGTATATAGTTATACAAGGAATTCCAATCCGTCTGTCTGACAGTGCATCTGTGTGTCCGATTTCTCGTAGGCCTGAATGCTATATTATAATTATGATGATTATTTACACTGGTTTATCAGCTGACTGGAAGCTCCGAATGTCGTTGTAGAGTTGACTGGTTTACATCACAAGCTCTTAACATCGTAAGGATGATATGGAGTATATCATCAACTTTGAGAATAATGCAGCATTGATTTTCTTCCAGATCCACCCCACCACACAATAGACGAGTTCAGTGGTGACGACTTCCGGAGTCTGCTCAACCTCAATCTTGTCAGCTACTTTCTTGCTGCAAAGGTGACCTCCAAAACCCAACATTGCATATTTGAAAACAAATTGAGCCTTTAATCACTAGTAGACAGGAACTACATTCACCTATGTTATTAGTAGTGGGACAATACACCAATGCACCGGTGAATCGCGATTACTACTTAATACAACTATCGATCACAATCGTACACTAACTAAAAAGTATCTATTCTTACCTTAAATGTATTCTTTAATAAATGTTTCATCAAACACTGATTACAAGTGAAAATGAGTAGTGAAAACGTACATACAGTCGAGTCTCGTTAATCCGACACTTGTTAATCTGACAATCGGCTTTATCCGACACAAATGATGGGAACTGATTTAATCAGTGCTATTTAGACCTGTTATTCTGACAGTCTCGCACTCCAACTCCGACTCCTAATTTGCAACGAATTGCTGAAATCACTCATTAATCAGTCTCGTTAAACTTAAGTGGTTGCAAGATTAGAAAACATATTCCGCTGACAAGGTAATACAACAATATGAATATTTTATTTTTCCTTTTCCTATGTGTTCGTATCGTTATCTTTCGTGTAGTTGTCCAATTTTCGATCATGAACGTTTGTACTACCTAATTTCGTTTATCCGACATACTCGTTAATCTGACATAATCATATGCAACCAACAATGTTGGATTAACGGGACTTGACTGTATTTTCATCCATTGCGCCATACTTGACACTGCCAACAGTAAATCGTTAGTGTGCCAGGTATTTGGCCATCCTTAAGTAGTCAATTTGTTTGTGTTGGTTGGTTTAGTGGAACAACATACATGACAATACTGTTTTGCGAATGAGGTTTTTTAGTGTTTGTCCACACTTGGTTATTTACAGAAAGCATGTTTGATGTTAAGTTCTCTGTTTTTAGTATGCTCTGCCTTACCTGCGGAAAACAGAAGGAAATATCATCAACGACTCCAGCTTGGTGGGCCAGATCGGACAGACCGGAGCGGTCACCTACGTTGCTACAAAGGTTGGGATGTTTTACATTATTACCCATATGGGCTAAAATATGCAGTGTAATATCTTTTTGATATTTGCACAGAGTGCAATTGGTGATGCTCGAAGCTGATTGGTCAGTTAAACAAAATTCAATTTTCATTCATCTTCCCGAGGTAAGTGAGTTAACTGACTATAAAAGTCCAGTTTCCAACCTTGCCGAACTAGGCTGGTATGGAGTTACATTTTGGCTGGACTAACTAGTCTGCATAGTCCAATCAAAATCGTGCACCGAAATCGAAATCCGGTTGGTAGAGTGTCATGCAGATTTCGGTTGACTGCAGGATTTGCAAAGCATGTGCACCGCTAACTCGTTGTCAACAGATATTTTCTAAATCTTTTCATGTTTTCAATAAAGGTGCTCACATGATTTGATGCACTTCGCGATGTAAGACTCGTTTTATCACAATATAGATCTTGATTATCGATCAGATCGTCTTGACTGGGTGCCACCGTTTTGTTTGAAACAAATGCAAGTGATAGAGAGGTTGAATCTGATTGGTCAATAGGAGAGGCATAGAAGGGACATAACTGGTAAAAGCCACTGGTGGCGCTATGATCGAGCCCAGGAATTCCAGCCTAGTTCGGCAAGGTTGGAAACTGGACTATTAAAGTCAGTTAACTCTCTTGCCTCGGTAAGATGTTTTCATTGGACAATGGGACTATTTTTCTCTGGTTGCGTTCATTCACAAATCCATGACATCCATTCACATGTTTTATGTGCTACTGTCTCACTGATTCCAGATCTTGAAGACAAGAAACAGTTTCAAATCAATAACATGAGTTCGCTTTTAAATCAGCAAAGCATTATTTCACATGATTTTCATTTTACAATAAAAACCCAAACTACGTCTGCCTTGTTTGTAAACAAACATCATTTGACACCTGTCAAAAGTAAATGACCTGTTTAAAGTGGACGGAGATCTGACTGACAGGAATAGTTATTCGTAGAGTAGTATGTCAACCTCTAAACACATTTAATGACTTTGTTGTTAAAACTGCATAGGGCCAGATTAAAGTTCCATGAGTCATACTGCCTGTGTTGCCAGAAACTGTTTCTAGTGCGTCATGATCAACACCACCCGGTTTGCCGCCAGCATCTTTGTTGGAAGACTTGCTGTTTGACTAAGTTTTCAACCACCCGAATTAAAAAAACAGACGGTACAGACATTTTTGCCTTTGTGAACGATGATGAAATCGATAAGATCCTAACTGCCAATGAAAATGAAACATACTGAAAAATACCTAACTTGACATGAATTAAGTACAAATTTATACAGGAATGCTTAATGACACAAGAAAGGTACTAATATTATTCTTTGTAAATTTTTCATTTCGGAATGCAAATCAGACGGTTCAGAATTTGAACCTTCTACTTTGAAGGGGATCAAGGGTAGCATAGAGCGTTATCTTAGCGATATGATTATCAACGTCTGCTCGTGATATCAATGCACTTTGCTAAACTCAGGGAGGTTTTGAAATCATAACAAAAATGATTAAAAATATAAGGAAAAGGAAACTTTTTTCAAAGTTAACCTACTTTTCATAACTTTTCTCTAACAAACATGACTTCTGTACATTCAATCTATATTGTTGGTACAGATTTTGGCATTTTTTCGAATAACACATGAAAAAAATGAAAGGTTTTGGGTAATGCAGTTGGATTGAGTGGACAGTGTTTTTTCACACACAGATTGATACAAAACAGCTAATTCTTGATCGGCGACATTGTCGGCATGGGTACAACAAGAATGTACCAAGGTAACTAACACAACTCACTCACCAACTTGGTGACTTGAGAGGAGCAGGCAGCAAATACTGTTACAGCAACTAAGGATGGGTGAATGTAATTTGATAATTGGTTGTTGTGTAATTTATTATGAAATTGGATAACACAGCTGAATGTGTCCTCCACTGGGATCCAGGGAAGACTTGGCTCCCAGTGCCTCATGATTGTTTAACAGGTGAGCTGAGGACATTGGGTGGTCAGACTCGGTGTCTGGGTGATTGCATGTCACTGTACCCATCGTCCTGGGACGTTGCTCATTCTGTCAACCACAGGTTTGTCTGGTTCAAACTCAATTATAGACAGGCCACTTACTCACTCGCTCACTCGCTCACTCGCCCACTCACTCAACCACTCACTCAACCACTCACTCAACCACTCACTCACTCAACCACTCACTCTTTTTTTAATATTTACATGTTGTTGGGATACAGCTGCAATATTGCTGACTGGCACAAAACAACAGGCAAACAACACAATCAAAAGATTAGGCTTTGATAAAATATTTGTTATATTAAGGGATGACTGTTTTGTGAGATTGTGTATATGTTCCAGGGAGGAATCAGCGCTATGACCAGGGCGCTAGCGGTAGATGAAGCCAAATACAACGTCAGAGTCAATTCGTAAGTATAGGATTTTCAGTATTTACACAGAACAAATTGTCCAACATTCATTACTATGGTTTTATATGATTTACTGAACACGCTGGCTATCACAGCTATTCTAAGACAAAAGGATCAACAGCAACTCCGGAATATATCTTGGTCAGTGAAACTGTTCAGCAGGTTCCGAGGCATATTTCAACAAACTTTGTGTAACCACATGTATGGTAACTAAAAACGCCCTTTGCCTTTGAGTGAGTGAGTGAGTGAGTGAGTGAGTGAGTATGGTTTTACGCTGCATTTAGCAATATTCCAGCAATATCACGGCGGGGGACACCAGAAATGGGCTTCACACATTTAAAAGAATGCACACAATGGGGTTTTATGTTCCACCACCCGTACCAAGACGTTACCATAAGCATGTACTCAACTTCATTCTGTTATTACACTATCTGGTTGTAAAAAGTGAACGGTGTAAATCTTGAATAATGTTTCATACCTATTTCATTTTTTGTTGTTGTATTGTTAATAAAAAGAAGTAACTGTTACATAAAATGGGCCTCCACCCAGGGTAGCAGAAAGCCCATGACATAGCACAACTTATCAGTACATCTTAGATTTTTTATGGATATAAGATACTTCTCACTCACACATTCACTCTTGTAATACAAATAATCTGCATATGTCAAGTATGTATAAACTGTTAAAGCTTATATATCATATTGCTGTGCTGGAAAGTACATGGTCTCAAACATTAAAGTCAAGTATAAAACTCAAATTAAAATGAAAGCTGCTCCTCATTTTCAAAAAGTTTATGATACAGCATCCAAGCACAATAGGGGGCGGTCGGGTAGCCTAGTGGTTACAGCGTTCGCTGGTCACGCCAAACACCTGGGTTTGATTCCCACCATGGGTACAATGTGTGAAGCCCATTTCTGGTGTCCCCTGCTGTGATATTGCTGGAATATTGCTAAAAGCAGCATAAAACCATACTCACTCACTCACTCCAAGCACCACAGAATTTCTGCTATCTTGTCTTGAAAGCAATGTCTTTTTCAATGTTCTATCATGAAAAAGCTTCCTTTTTTATAAATATGAAAATACCGTTTTGTATTTTGAAATTTGCATCTATAAATATAGCCACTTGGAAAGCAGCTTTCTCAGCGTTGCGGTACCAGTTTCAAACTTGCGACTTCCATTCCAGACTATGCTTTTAAAATTATTTTGAATAAGTCATACAGACTGTAACAGTTGTTTTGTGTTGAGCTTTAGAAGTTGCATGATAAGAAAACATATTCCGTTAACAATGTAATATAACAATAGGAATATTTCATTTATATTTTTTTATTACGTGTTTGTATCTTTATCTATTGTGTAGTTGTCCAATTTTCGATCACGAACATTGATACTACCTAATTTCGTTTATCCGACATACTCGTGAATCCGACATAATCATATGCAACCAACAATGTGGGATTAACGGGACGTGGCTGTATTTTGACTTGTGGAAAAGTTTCCAAGCCGCAGAGGTCTACAAGCACAAATATGGAAAGTGATCCTTTTTGGTTAGGACTAGTGCCCTCGCAAAATTGTTTCGCAATTTATGTCTCCAATGTTGCCCAAACTTGTAAAATGCCTTATCTACCTCACAGTAAGACAATGATTTTCAGTATATTAGACTGATCTTTTGATAATGATAGCATTTATCCCAGTAGTTTCTCAAGATTCCCAATGGTTAATTCTGACTCGATCGCCGAATGAGAAGGACGACGCCATATTTGTTTATGAACACTGAAAGTAGTCCCTACTTGACCTTTGATATTTGCATCTCTATCCGCATATGACCCCAACAGATATGGTTTTTATCTGTTGGCTTTATCCTGCAGAGACACCTACCAATTATATCATAAATATAGTAAACTTCGCTTATAACGAACTGACTCATATAACAAACTTATGTTTTAGCCCCGGCCGTTTATTGTATATATGCTGTATATATGCTTATAACAAAATACGATTATTACAAACTAAAATTAGTGGTCCCTTTGAGGTCGTTTTAACCGTAGTTTACTGTATATCATAAATGCCATACAAAGTCATATTTGTTGTAGTTTGACTATTATATGTCCCCATATAGTTTTAGACCACCTCCGTGGTCTAGTGGTAGAGCATCTGCCCGGAGAGCGGAAGGTCCGGGGTTCGATCCCCGACCGCGTCATACCAAAAGAGGTTAAAAGATGGTACTTGTTGTTACCCTGTCTGATGCTCGGCATTAAGGGGCTAAAACAAAGACTGGTTGGCTCGGAGTCAGTATACTGTGTCTGAGTGGGGTATTAATGTTTAATTGCGGCATGGTATCTTTGAGCTAGCACTATAAATCGGCATCAGTCCGGACTAGTACAAGCAGCCACACAAACACACACACGTACATGCACGTCGCTATATAAGTGCAATAATCTTGGACGCGACGTTAAACCCCATTTCACCTCACCATGCTCACCTCACCCATATAGTTTAAGACGTCAAAAAAGGAAAGTTCATGGGAAGCCCCTGAAGGTGACTTGTGAAACTGTTCCATATATACAAAATATCTGGCAATATTTCAACGTGCAATGTCAATGTTATTATTATTAAATATATATAGTATTAAGCTGCCATTAAAATATCACAATATTGAAATATCTTTAGCACAGCCGGCATGTTTTCTCGAGAGGACAACCAGTTTGTATGTAAACATAATAATAATTTGGCTTTCTAAATGCTGGTTAGTTTTTTACAAAAACAACCAATCTGGGATTAAGAGTAACAAATTTTTACTATGTTTTTCACCTGTTCAAATTTTTCTTTCTGATTTCCCATGCGTGCCATTAATGGTTGCTGGGAAACTAAGGACCAGTTACTAAGGAAGAAGCTTGTGCACTTCCCTTACAAAATAGTGGAAGAAGTCAAGTAAAATGCATACAGAATTTTGATGTGGAGATGTTTGTACTAAAATGTTGGATATTAAAGCCAAAGACATTTGAAACTACTAAGCACACTACCGAGTTTTCATCCAACAAGTTTGGTCTCTGTGACAGGTTTTCTCCTGGCAATGTGTGGACCCCAATGTGGGAGAATGGTGCCAACAGCGAGAAGGACCCTCAGGGATGTATAAAGGCAGGTGAAGATGCACAGGTGAGAAGGACCCTCAGGGATGTATAAAGGCAGGTACAGATGCACAGGTGAGAAGGACCCTACAGGCTGTATAAAGGCAGGTGCAGATGCACAGGTGAGAAGGACCCTCAGGGCTGTATAAAGGCAGGTGCAGATGCACAGGTGAGAAGGACCCTCAGGGCTGTATAAAGGCAGGTGCAGATGCACAGGTGAGAAGGACCCTCAGGGCTGTATAAAGGCAGGTGCAGATGCACAGGTGAGAAGGGCCATCAGGGCTGTATAAAGGTAGGTGCAGATGCACAGGTGAGAAGGACCCTCAGGGCTGTATAAAGGCAGGTGCAGATGCACAGGTGAGAAGGACCCTCGGGGATGTATAAAGGCAGGTGCAGATGCACAGGTGAGGGGGACAACATGGCTGTATAAAGGCAGGTGCAGATGCACAGGTGAGAAGGACCCTCAGGGATGTATAAAGGTAGGTGCAGATGCACAGGTGAGAAGGACCCTCAGGGATGTATAAAGGCAGGTGCAGATGCACAGGTGAGGGGGACCACATGGCTGTATAAAGGCAGGTGCAGATGCACAGGTGAGAAGGGCCATCAGGGCTGTATAAAGGCAGTTGCAGGTGCACAGGTGAGAAGGACCCTCAGGGATGTATAAAGGCAGGTGAAGATGCACAGGTGAGGGGGACCACATGGCTGTATAAAGGTAGGTGCAGATGCACAGGTGAGAAGGACCCTCAGGGCTGTATAAAGGCAGGTGCAGATGCACAGGTGAGAAGGACCCTCAGGGCTGTATAAAGGCAGGTGCAGATGCACAGGTGAGAAGGGCCATCAGGGCTGTATAAAGGTAGGTGCAGATGCACAGGTGAGAAGGACCCTCAGGGCTGTATTAAGGCAGGTGCAGATGCACAGGTGAGAAGGACCCTCAGGGCTGTATAAAGGCAGGTGCAGATGCACAGGTGAGAAGGACCCTCGGGGATGTATAAAGGCAGGTGCAGATGCACAGGTGAGGGGGACAACATGGCTGTATAAAGGCAGGTGCAGATGCACAGGTGAGAAGGACCCTCAGGGATGTATAAAGGTAGGTGCAGATGCACAGGTGAGAAGGACCACATGGCTGTATAAAGGCAGGTGCAGATGCACAGGTAAGAAGGACCCTCAGGGCTGTATAAAGGCAGGTGCAGATGCACAGGTGAGAAGGACCCTCAGGGCTGTATAAAGGTAGGTGCAGATGCACAGGTGAGGGGGACCCTCAGGGATGTATAAAGGCAGGTGCAGATGCACAGGTGAGGGGACCACATGGCTGTATAAAGGCAGGTGCAGATGCACAGGTGAGGAGGACCACATGGCTGTATAAAGGCAGGTGCAGATTCACAGGTGAGAAGGACCCTCAGGGCTGTATAAAGGCAGGTGCAGATGCACAGGTGAGAAGGACCCTCAGGGCTGTATAAAGGTAGGTGCAGATGCACAGGTGAGAAGGACCCTCAGGACTGTATAAAGGCAGGTGCAGATGCACAGGTGAGAAGGGCCCTCAGGGCTGTATAAAGGCAGGTGCAGATGCACAGGTGAGAAGGACCCTCAGGGATGTATAAAGGCAGGTGCAGATGCACAGATGAGAAGGATCCTCAGGGCTGTATAAAGGCAGGTGCAGATGCACAGATGAGAAGGACCCTCAGGGATGTATAAAGGCAGGTGCAGATGCACAGGTGAGGGGACCACATGGCTGTATAAAGGGGGTGCAGATACACAGGCGAGAAGGACCCTCAGGGCTGTATTAAGGCAGGTGCAGATGCACAGGTGAGAAGGACCCTCAGGGATGTATGAAGGGGGTGCAGATGCACAGGTGAGAAGGGCCCTCAGGGCTGTATATATGGGGTGCAGATGCACAGGTGAGGGTGACCACATGGCTGTATAAAGGGGGTGCAGATGCACAGGTGAGGGGGACCACATGGCTGTATAAAGGGGGTGCAGATGCACAGGTGAGGGGGACCACATGGCTGTATAAAGGGGATGCAGATGCACAGGTGAGGGGGACCACATGGCTGTATAAAGTGGTGCAGATACACAGGCGAGAAGGACCCTCAGGGATGTATAAAGGGGGTGCAGATGCACAGGTGAGGGGGACCACGTGGCTGTATAAAGGGGGTGCAGATGCACAGGTGAGGGGGACCACATGGCTGTATAAAGGGGGTGCAGATGCACAGGTGAGAGTGACCACATGGCTGTATAAAGGGGGTGCAGATACACAGGCGAGAAGGACCCTCAGGGATGTATAAAGGGGGTGCAGATGCACAGGTGAGAAGGACCCTCAGGGATGTATAAAGGCAGGTGCAGATGCACAGGTGAGAAGGACCCTCAGGGCTGTATTAAGGGGGTGCAGATGCACAGGTGAGGATCGCCCACAGGGTTTACAGGAACTTATGGATGAAATTAAAAAATCCTTCATGTTGAGGGACCTTTCGTTTAATATGATGTGTGATAATACCATGTTGCAGCATCTTTCTTTCTGATCAGAGATAGGACAGGAAGTCAGATGTAACATTTACCACTCTGAAGACAAATGCTTCAACAATCAAAACAAGTATGTATCTGAGAATGAACCACTTAGTGGGTCGCTCTTGTTCCAGCTTCTGGGCAGGTTTGGCACCGTCGAGGAGTGTGGCCAGGCTTGTCTGTTCCTGGCAGCAGAGGGCACCTTCTGTACCGGCATCGATCTCAACCTCTCTGGCGGCGCTGAGCTCAACTACGGCTTCAAGAACATGAGAGAAAGGACTGGCATCTTCCAATGAGTGTGCTGCACTTCTATATCATAGCTCTAGCTTCTTGTCAACGCTATTCCACATCATTCCCCTGTATGTGTCTTTCAATTTAAATCTTTACATGATTACCTTATATGTGCAATCAAAACAAGTTTCATATGAGTATAGTTAATCTGCCATGACTTGGTATTGCAACCATCTTCCCGAGGCAAGGGAGTTAACTGACTGTAAAAGTTCAGTTTCAACCTTTGCAGAACCGGACTGGAATTTTTGGGCTCGATCGTAGCACCACCAATGGCTATTACAAGTTATGTCCCTTCTATGTCCCTCCTATTGACCAATTAGATTCCACAGCTGAAAACAAAATTGCAGGGTCCAGTCAAGACGATATTGACTGATAATCAAGATCTATTTTATAATAAAAGGGGTCTAACTTCATGAAATGTATAAATGTGCAAATCGTATGATCAACCAAAATCTACACTGCAGTTTACTGATTGGACCATGCATAGACTTGTAACTCCAGCCAATATAAAACCCCATAATTCCAACCTTGTTCGGTAAGGGTGGAAACTGGACTTTTATAGTCAGGGGACTATACACCTTGTTATTTCTAAGCGCAATGGCATCTATAAGTATATCAATATTTGTGACCAACCATGAGATAAGGGACCTTACGGGTGAAAAATCACATTTTGACTTTTCATTATAATTTAAAACTACAGCATCTTCGGAACACAAAAGTACAATTCACAAGCTTCAATTCATATTTTTACAGAGAAACAAGACATCCCACACATGTATTTTCACTGAAGAAAGTTGACGTCAAATGTCTTTATGACGTCACAGCACAATTGTATCCTAGCTCCAGTAAGGTCCCTTTTCTCCTGGCGGGTCACATTTGTGTTCTTTGTGGGTTTTCAATTGTACAAATCCAATCGAAATTTCCAAATCGTGGTAAAGAAATTAACTTGGCACTGAGGAGTGAAACATTCTGACAAGCATATATGTATTTCGAAATCGAAAGTATGACTGGGAGTTTCAATTGCCAAAAATATGGCTGCAATAATATATTGATGTGGATATTTTATACATTCTGTTGTTTCTGAGCACCATGGCATCTACGCTTGTACTATCGAGGGTATATTTTTTAACAGTACATGTGCCGGTATTATGTTGCTAAGATCGAAATTTCCAAATTCAGATGGTATAGAAATATAGCTCAAATGTTTTAGAAAGCTGTTCTCATTGGTCAATGAGCTGGTACATGTAAAGTCAAACTTCACTCTCCCGTGAAGATTCCCGGTTAGAGATGGTCTACAGCAACTCATGCTTGTCGTAAGATCGGGATCGGGTGGTCAGGCTCGCTGACATGTCCTATCTCAATTGCGTAGATCGATGCTCATGATGTCAATCACTGGATTGTCTGGTCCAGACTTGAGTATTGACTGACCGGAATAGCTTGTATATTGCTGAGTGCGGCTTTAAACAACAAACATTCAAACATACAAATAAACTTCGCTCATGTTTCTTCTGACCTGGTACATGTGGTATGACGAAATCTGTTTTGGGTAAGATCATGGCTTATAGTTGACAGGTCATTTGTTATATGGTGGGTTTGATATGTTGTTCACTCTAGTCAGAGACCTAGTGAAGACCAAATATTTATCATGGCTGTGTGATAGTTTAATGTGTGTTGTCATCAGTTATTAGTTATGTGTATCATTAAGCCTAAATAAGGCTACAAAAATAATAGTCTTGGTTCTCAGGCATCGCCCGCATCATCATATGGTCCACAGCACGTTTCCTTTTTATTTCCATTTCAAACGACCCTGGCAGTGAAATGCTTACAAAAATTACAATACTTAAAAAATATTAATTTTTTTTATTACATACAAGCTTGAACAACCAAAAATATAACAAAAAACGCCGCCCGCCTGCACTGTATTTTCAAAAGCCATGGCCTGAGAACCAATTCTTTAATTTTTTTTTAGTCTGAAGTAAGTGTTATGCAATTTTTAAACATACTGGAATATGCTTGTCTTGTTGTTTTTGTACAGATTCATCAACTGCTGTATGTCATCTATGCAATAGGTTTAAAATGTGTGATATATTCATATGTGATCAAATGGTAGCTGGATATCATTCACTTCAGTATTGACTCTTGGGTGGATATTCTTGCCACAAATATACGAGCAGCTTGGCTTCCTGTGACTTCAAGCTTCTAAGTGGCGGTTGGGTAGCCTAGTGGTTAAAGTGTTCGCTAGTCAAGCTGAAGACCCCATAGCTGTCAAGCCCTGGATGTCTAAATGAGTGAGAAGCACAGGTGCAGGGGCTGCAAGCCCTGCTGGGTGGACGCAGGGTGCAAAGCCCCCCCAGCGAAAACTGGTTTTGAATGATTTTAAGACCATTTTAATGGCCTTAGAGAGCATGTATTCTGAAAAATATGTTTGTCAAAAATGAAAAGAAAAGAATTTGGAAGTTGGAATTGAATTAATCTTGTATCGTACTTTGCAGACCCTCGATATTTTGCCCCTTTCGGCTTTCAAAACCCTTCATCCTCGCTCATGTTGTATCTCATGTCAATATATGATCAAATATGGCGCGCGCTGATTCTGGACTGGTTAATTAGTGTGGCTAAGTAATTGCGCGAAAAGGGGAAAGAATGAACCCAGTCTCGCCCTGTTGGTTGCAATCGCGATAAATTGAAAGAGAAAAGTGTTTCAAAATATATTTTTATCTACATTTTATATGAATGCGTGAGAATTTCCCAACCTTGCGTGTGAGCGTGACATAGGTGATAAATGCGTGAGACTCACGCGAGATGCGTGAGAGTTTACAGGTATGAGACCCGGGTTAGACTCCAGACATGGGTACAATGTGTGAAGCCCATTTCTGGGGTCCCCCCGCCATGATATTGCTGGAATATTGCTAAAAGTGGCGTAAAACCATACTCATTCACTCACTCAGGTTTCTATGTACGAGGCCTTTTGTCAGACTTAATTTTGTATTCAGGGTGCCTTGATGCCTTCAGTGACAACTGTTTTATCTCTTGGTTTACACATTTTTGGTGAAAACCCTTGTCGATGGGTGAAGAAAAATAAAGATAAACATCTATCAGATATGATTAGTCCTTAACAAATGGCCATGTGGACAGTGTTTAGTTTTTCAGGAACCCTGAAGTTTAATATACTGAAGGTACAATGATTTGTATTTCAATTGGGACAGGTTCATCTTTGACAAAATAATAGAATGGTGCTGTTCATATTTTACTCTTTTTCCACTTTCCATATTTTCATGGGGGCATGGCTGGCCCTGTCATCTGAGGCGTTGCAATTCTCTGTGCAGAGTTTCTTCCCTTGGATGTTTGATTTAAAGTACTCATGGAAATGAAAAAACCCTGTTTTGCTGGATTTAATAATCGACACAAAGCATTACGTAGATGTAAATACGAAATAACAAAACAACTGGAAAAGTACTAGTCTGAATTTGCTAGTTTATCTCAGAGCTCAATACAAAATGTACTTTACAGGAGGTAATTTGTAGGCACTTTCAACATTCAAAAATAAAACTAAGTCCAAATTGACATGGCAGAAACAGGCTATAGGCATTATGCAAATTAGCCTGGAAAAAAGTTATCAAAACAACAATAAAAATAACAGCTATGTTTATGTACATAACAATAATGACATGCAAGTTGTTGTTTGAGAAGGGAATATGTTACTTTTACGTTCTGATATTTTGACGATGATTAACTATCCCACAATGCCACTCACAAATCACTAACCACTGACAAATCACATGCACGTGGGTTTCAAGCACCTGTTTTCACCTGTCGTCAAGGTATCATAGGTCATGGACATTCACCTTGGTCTACTAACACCTGGTTATGCTCAGTTTCACAATAGTCTGTTTTGTTCATATTTTTACACACTTTTACGTGTAAAAAGATATAAAAACCTTTGATACACTGTATTTGTGCCAAGGCCCAATTAGTACTAATTGAGTTGTTTGAATATTTATATATTTTGTATATTAACTGCATTTATTTAAAATCTGAGATCGAAAAAAACAGGGGTTTTTCATTTCCGTGAGTACTTTAGTGTAACAGTGTTGGATTAAATGTAACAGTGTTGGATTTATTGTAACAGTGTTGGGTTAAATGCAACAGTGTTGGGTTTAATGCAACAGTGTTGGGTTTAATGTTACGGTTTGACCAGTAAATCACAGGGCTAATTGATTTACACTTTGTCAGTCCAAACTACTGGAAGTGATTTATACAGAAATTGGGTCTAACCTAACAAATGTTATATTCGGGATAACACTTTCTTAGTAAAGTACAGATTCTTGTTATCCCAAATATTTCATTTGTTACATTTGACCGCTTTCTAAATGGCACTGTGAATTCACAGAAATTGGGTTGTTGATATTGTTAGTGTCACTATGATCTAATATGAAAAAATGTGATTGCTTTGAAAAAATGTTTGAATTTTTACATCCACTTTGAACTGATATCTTCATGGTCTAGCTTCTTTGTTTTTTGTAGTTTGTTTTGAATAAATATTGCATTATGAGAAAGGAAAATGTCCTTGTTATTTATGCTGGAGTGACTCAAACTAAATGACCATCAATCTTGGGTGCCACAGGGAAGTGCATGTTTTCTATTAAATTATCTGAATGATTCTTGAATGTGAGGATCTGCACATCGAGAGTGAGTGAGTTGGGTTTAACACCGCTTTTAACAGTATTCCAGTTGTACCAGGCATGTCAGCTTAATGGTGGAGGAAAGCCCGAAGTGATACAGGTCTCAGACGTTTACCACTTTCATGAAATACAGGAGAAAAGGGGTTTGGTACTGACAAACCTAGAAAAACAATCTGGGCAAACTGGGATTTGAACTCTCAATCACTCGTTTCTGGTGTGTCCAAGGGACGCAACACCTCACAGTGATTTATGGTGCCTTAGACAACTGGGCCACCCTGTCCTGGCACATCCAGAGGGTCTGCATATTTCAACTGCTAGGCAAAAGAAAGTATACACCCGTTTTTGATGGTGGCTAAAAATGAAACAAACAAGAAATGGTCATTGGGTGGTTATGTATTTGAAATGTTTGATACGGTTATCATAGTTGTGTTTTGGACCTTAAGTTTGCAGTGTTTCCAGAGAGCATATTTTGACCAGGGATTCAAGAAACTGAACCAATCGTTGAAACATCTTCAAAGTACACTTTTTTCTTAGCAGCTGTCCAAAGAAATACTGGATTGGCACAATTTATACCATAAGAATCACCACAGACGTTATTCTTCTGGGTGGACGAGTGGCCCACTTGTTTAAGGCGCCGCGATTCGCTGTGCAGAGTTGCGTCCCTTGGGCACGCCAGAAACCTATGATTGTGGGTTCGGACCCCAGTTGGCCCCGATTATGTTTATAGGTTTGTCAGCACCATACACGTGCTCGTGGGTTTCACCGAAGTACTAAACGTCTGAGACCGGCATCACTTCGGTATCTCCTCCCACATTAACCGGACACACCCGGTATAACTGGAATACTGTTAAAAGCGGCTTTAAACCCAACTCACTCACTCACTCTTCTAGCTTCTACTCGACAGCAATAGTTCAGAGGTCTTCAGAAAGATGACATGTTGCTTATCACTTGGTTGTAGTCCCTCCAGCCTGATAATAGTGTAAGAATCTACATCGAAAAGTCGCTAAAGGCAATAAATCAGAAGTTGTCATCCATAATGTTGAACATTTAATAATTCACTTACCAACTTCTAGAAGAGAACTGGCCAATCTGTACCCAAATCCTTTTGTGGGACTCGAACCCAAATGTTGGAAAACCCCTACCCATTCGTACTTAATCAACTGGATGACTCGTACCCTAATGTAAACTGAATGCATATTTGAAACGTAAACTGAATGCATATCTAAAACGTAAACTGAATAAATGTTTAAAACATAAAATGAATCAATTCTGGAAATGTAATAGCGCTATGAATAAATTGCTATGAAAGTTCAGGTCAGAATATATGAGAATGTAGTGCTGAAAAAAACTATTGTAAACATATTTTGTTGTCGTTTTTACGGTGCAAACGGTAAAAGCAATCCCGTTTCGAACATCTTGCTTTACAAAATAAAGGGGTACGACTCATCCAAATTTGGGAACGGGTCAGCCAAATAGAGTACGAATCCTCCAAAACATTACGAGTCTGTTGAGAATTTTAGGTACGGGTTAGCCATTTTCGTTGGGCTCCGTGGGTCAAGTATCTTTCTAAAATATGACAATAAAACAGTTATCAGAGCCCCTTAATTTATCACCCTTTGATTTGTAACAAAAGGGTGACATGTTCTCCAGTCGTCAAGTATATTGGGACTAAGTCCGGGACATTTGGCAATCCTCGCTAGTTTCATTACACTTTGCTTTGTCTTTATTTCTTCATGATGTGTGACCCGTGAAGATCTGGGGTAGAATAGGTCTTCAGCAATCCATGCTTGCCGTAAAAGGTGACATGTCGTAAGAGGCGACTAACAGGATCGGGTGGTCAGGCTCGCTGACTTGGTTGATGCATGTCATCGTATCCCAACTGCGTGGATCGATGCTCACGATGTCAATCACTGGATTGTCTGGTCCAGACTCGGTTACGTACTGACAGTGTCATATAGCTGGAACATTGCTGAGTGCGGTTTTAAACAACAAACAAACAAACAAACAAACAAATCTTGTGATCGATGCTCATGACATTAATCACTGGATTGTCTGGTCCAGACTCCATTATTTACAGACCGCCGTCATATAGATGGAATATTGCTGAGAGCGGCGTTAAACAACAAACCAAACCAAATCCATGATGTGTATCGATGTAGCAGTCAAAGAGTGGCTTGATTACGCTGACAATGTCCCACATGTGCCACTCTACATTTTGTAGGCACGGTTTTAACCTCAACAGGCTTTCGTATCACTCCAATCTATACATCGTTTAAACCTCAGTTTCATTATAATAAGATATTTTATTCTATCATGATACCTCTGTGTGTGAAGATCTGACACCCCCTCCATAGGAGGCCGCACCAGGTCCAGATTACACAATGGGTGCGTGGGTCCTTCAGCTCATCAGATGTTAATCTCATTAAATTCAGACCTCAGTTCTCGCTACCGCTATGATCTGAGGACACTCCATTAGGGGTCACGCAAGAACTACCTTTCATCCGACCAATCAGAGCATCGCTTACCAGATTATGAAGGTTACAGTCGGAATGTGATTTCTAATCATGCAACCTCGAAAACTTTAACTCCGAACGATAGTTACGGGTTTAACGACTGAATCCATACAATCTAGACCATCTATTAGCCATTCCAGAATGTTCTTTTGTTCAGGTTTTAAATTTGAAATCGAGAATTTGTCAAAATATGTTTCGAAGCGAAATCGCCAATTTGAAATTAGTGCCGTAAAGCACGAGAAAGCTGCCTTCTGATTGGTCATTCCATTGGTCGGTCAAAGTTCGCGCAAGGTCGGTCTGACGTGACCCGTAATGGGATGTCCAAAGATCTTTGTTCAGCTGTAGCGAGAACTAAGATTGGATTTTAATGACATTGATCAGATGTAGTCTCACCATTCTAAATTGATTCTGCTTCATTTCTTTACCCCATTGAACCCAAAGAAAAAACACACAGAACACAGATTCCCTCGTTTGCATGATTCTGTGGCGTAGATACCATGGCGCTCAAGACGATAGGGTGTAATAAACACACACAAGAATGTGATAGCGCGTGCTATATTTATTCTCTCCATTCGGAACTGTCAGTTCGTGTTTGTTTTCGAGATCCATAAAGCAGATATGCTGCTCTGAGTGAATGCTCCGCTCGCTTGTACTGAAAATTAGGCAAGAATGCAGTTTACCGGGCGCACGCCGAGCTCTACCATCCGCTCAATTACCGCGCTATAGTGCCACCGCTGTCTCTAATACCGTTACCGTGTCTCACGCTCTGGTGACTCTCGCTTCACGATCCAACACCCCTTTTCGGTCTTAGCGAAACTTACACGTTTTTACGATCCAACAACCGTTTTCGGTCTTAGGGAAACTTACACGTCTTTACGATCCAACACCCCTTTTCGGTCTTAGGGAAACTTACACATCTTTACGATCCAGCACCCGTTTTCGGCCTTAGGGAAACTTACACGCCTTTACGATCCAGCACCCGTTTTCGGTCTTAGAGAAACTTACACGTCTTTACGATCAAACACCCGTTTTCGGTCTTAGGGAAACTTACACATCTTTACGATCCAACACCCGTTCTCGGTCTTAGGGCAACTTACACATCTTTACGATCCAACACCCGTTCTCGGTCTTAGGGAAACTTACACATCTTTTCGATCCAACACCCGTTCTCAGTCTTAGCGAAACTTACACGTCTTTACGATCCAACACCCCTTTTCGGTCTTAGGGAAACTTACACGTCTTTACGATCCAGCACCCGTTTTCGGCCTTAGGGAAACTTACACGCCTTTACGATCCAGCACCCGTTTTCGGTCTTAGAGAAACTTACACGTCTTTACGATCAAACACCCGTTTTCGGTCTTAGGGAAACTTACACATCTTTACGATCCAACACCCGTTCTCGGTCTTAGGGCAACTTACACATCTTTACGATCCAACACCCGTTCTCGGTCTTAGGGAAACTTACACATCTTTTCGATCCAACACCCGTTCTCAGTCTTAGCGAAACTTACACGTCTTTACGATCCAACACCCCTTTTCGGTCTTAGGGAAACTTACACGTCTTTACGATCCAACACCCGTTCTCGGTCTTAGGGAAACTTACACGTCTTTACGATCCAACACCCGTTCTCGGTCTTAGAGAAACTTACACGTCTTTACGATCCAACACCCGTTCTCGGTCTTAGGTAAACTTACACGTCTTTACTATCCAACACCCGTTTTCGGTCTTAGGGAAACTTACACATCTTTACGATCCAGCACCCGTTTTCGGTCTTAGGGAAACTTACACATCTTTACGATCCAACACCCGTTCTCGGTCTTAGGGAAACTTACACGTCTTTACGATCCAACACCCCTTTTCGGTCTTAGGGAAACTTACACATCTTTACGATCCAGCACCCGTTTTCGGCCTTAGGGAAACTTACACGCCTTTACGATCCAGCACCCGTTTTCGGTCTTAGAGAAACTTACACGTCTTTACGATCAAACACCCGTTTTCGGTCTTAGGGAAACTTACACATCTTTACGATCCAACACCCGTTCTCGGTCTTAGGGCAACTTACACATCTTTACGATCCAACACCCGTTCTCGGTCTTAGGGAAACTTACACATCTTTTCGATCCAACACCCGTTCTCAGTCTTAGCGAAACTTACACGTCTTTACGATCCAACACCCCTTTTCGGTCTTAGGGAAACTTACACGTCTTTACGATCCAGCACCCGTTTTCGGCCTTAGGGAAACTTACACGCCTTTACGATCCAGCACCCGTTTTCGGTCTTAGAGAAACTTACACGTCTTTACGATCAAACACCCGTTTTCGGTCTTAGGGAAACTTACACATCTTTACGATCCAACACCCGTTCTCGGTCTTAGGGCAACTTACACATCTTTACGATCCAACACCCGTTCTCGGTCTTAGGGAAACTTACACATCTTTTCGATCCAACACCCGTTCTCAGTCTTAGCGAAACTTACACGTCTTTACGATCCAACACCCCTTTTCGGTCTTAGGGAAACTTACACGTCTTTACGATCCAACACCCGTTCTCGGTCTTAGGGAAACTTACACGTCTTTACGATCCAACACCCGTTCTCGGTCTTAGAGAAACTTACACGTCTTTACGATCCAACACCCGTTCTCGGTCTTAGGTAAACTTACACGTCTTTACTATCCAACACCCGTTTTCGGTCTTAGGGAAACTTACACATCTTTACGATCCAGCACCCGTTTTCGGTCTTAGGGAAACTTACACATCTTAACGATCCAACACCCGTTCTCGGTCTTAGGGAAACTTACACGTCTTTACGATCCAACACCCCTTTTCGGTCTTAGGGAAACTTACACGTCTTTACGATCCAACACCCGTTCTCGGTCTTAGGGAAACTTACACGTCTTTACGATCCAACACCCCTTTTCGATCTTAAGGAAACTTACACATCTTTACGATCCAACACCCGTTCTCGGTCTTAGGGAAACTTACACGTCTTTACGATCCAACACCCGTTCTCGGTCTTAGGGAAACTTACACATCTTTACGATCCAACACCCCTTTTCGGTCTTAGGGAAACTTACACATCTTTACGATCCAACACCCCTTTTCGGTCTTAGGGAAACTTACACATCTTTACGATCCAGCACCCCTTTTCGGTCTTAGGGAAACTTACACATCTTTACGATCCAACACCCCTTTTCGGTCTTAGGGAAACTTACACGCCTTTACGATCCAGCACCCCCTTTCGGTCCTAAGGGTTAGCTTGCTTTGGGCAAGGAATTAGAATTAGAAGTCTTGGCTGAATAGAAATTTAGCAGACGCCACCTCCTATGTAGGGATTGTTTCATGTGATGACTGAACTGATCTTGTCACTTGTCACTTGTCATTTGTCACCAGGAAACCCACTTCTACTGCTTCTGTCCCGTCACCGATTTACAGTAATAGTGTGATTAACAAACACAGAATTTTGCACCTGATGTTTAATTTGTATTTATTCAAAACAGTATGACAACAATATAAAGATACGTTATGCAAAGGATTTACCAAGTAACTGATTTGTGTTTGCTTTGGAGGTGGGTCAGCTTTCGTGATTAAAAGTTTTGTCTAAGTGAAGCGTCAGTAAAATATCTATCGATTTGGATCAACGTATCAAGGGCAGGTCACTCTAAATTATTTTCCATCAAGTGTAAACGTCAACAGGTGGTTCGAAGTCTTGAGGATGATAAGGTCTGCTGGTAAGTTGAAGAAAGTTGCTACATACACAACATGAAGGACATGAATAGATACAACATCACATGCACGTCAATGTCTTGCCACGCTGAAGTAGTAGGGAAATCTAAATAGGTAATAAACGTTTGCAATGTTATATTCATCCTTGTGTCTGTTTACATTGTTTCAGAATGAATGAACACATTGATATAACACTGCATAAGGGACTGCAAAAGAAGTGCATTTGTGTTGTATAACTTCTTTAAAGTTTTGGATGCATAAAGTTCTTACCCACAATGAAAACATTTTAACACAAAAATGAATAATATATGTAGCCTACTTGGAATAGCAGACGATATCTCCATTTGATATTACGTGGGTGAGTGAGTATGGTTTTTATGCCACTTTTAGCAGTATTGCAGCAATATCCCAACAACGTGGGACACCAGAAATTGGTTGCACACATTCTACCCATCTGGGGAATCAACCCAAGCTTATTTGAAACACCAGTCCACCCAGCTTTCCCTAAAAGTGAGTGAGTGAGTGAGTGAGTGAGTTAAAATTTATAGTCACTTCGGCAGTATTTCAGCCATATTGTGACTACCAAAAGTTTTACATAATATATACATTTAAACAATAACGGCCTGTCAACAAAGGACAGTAAAATACCTAGATGATCACAGAATATTATTTAAAACTAGTATACAACCATAAAAAGATGTCACTATACCTAACGATACAATATAAAAAAAGGCTATAGATGGCCAGCATTCCCGAAAAGGCAATGAAAAACAATTCTTAGCGTGAAAGAAAAATGATATTGACATATTAGCATTGTTTAATGATCATGATTTACATGTACCGTACAATGTTCAGTGTGTGTTCTTCTTGTTCATAATCATAAAGAAAACTTACATGAATGGAAGATGGGCCATTGACTGGGCAGAGTTGCTTCCCTTAGGCGTGACAGTAACTTATGATTGTTGGATCGATTCCCAGATTTTACTTGCATGATTATGTTGCTTGGTTTGTTATTGTTGTCAGCACCATACCGGTGGTCATGGGTTTTACCATACCGGTGATCATGGGTTTCACCATACCTGTGCTTGTGGGTTTCACCATACCTGTGCTTGTGGGTTTGACCCAGGGCTGGGACAGGTAACTCGGGCACTCGGGTCAAGTGGGTCCTGAGTAGGACCTGGGTACCCACAGTTCTACCCGGATCCGTGGTTAGTCACGTGACATATTGTTTAATGACAAAAAATTACTATAGCTCAGTGGTTACACTGCAAGTCGCTAATGTTCGCATTTCTTTCTGATGATGCACACATTCCTTTTGGCTTGTATAAGTTTGAGCAAAGGAAAAACATTAGTCAACTTCAGTGTATGCATGATTTGATCGTTTCATGAGACCATATATCTATGTGGTCTCTGGTTTCATACATGTCTCTTAACAGTTTTTGCCAGGGCTACAGTTAAACTATTCCCAATTAGACATTGTGTTCCCAACTCTTGAGACCTACAGTGGATACCCGGGTAGAGTCGGGTAATAAGGGGTCGGGTACCCGGGGAGTAAATTTCGACTCGTCCCAGGCCTCATTTGACCATATCTGTACTCATGGGTTTGACCATGCCTGTGCTTGTGGGTTTGACCATATCCATGCTTGTGGGTTTCACCATACCTGTGCTTGTGTGTTTCACCATACCTGTGCACATGGGTTTCACCATACCTGTGCTCGTGGGTTTCAACATACATGTGCTCGTGGGTTTCACCATATTGGTGCTTGTGGGTTTCACCATACATGTGCTCGTGGGTTTCACCATATCTGTGCTCATGGATTTCACCATACCTGTGCTCATGGGTTTCACCATATCTGTGCTCGTGGGTTTCACCATACCAGTGACCATGGGTTTCACCATATCTGTGCTTGTGGGTTTCATCGTTCCCATGCTCATGGGTTTCACCATACCTGTGCTCGTGGGTTTCATCATTTGCATGCTTGTAGGCCTCACCGTACCTGTGCTTGTGGGTTTCCCCATACCTGTGCTTGTGGGTTTCACCATACATGTGCTTGTGGGTTTCATCATACCTGTGCTAATGGGTTTCACCATACCCATGCTCGTGGGTTTCACCATACCTGTGCTCATGGGTTTCACCATACCCATGCTCGTGGGTTTCACCGTACCCATGCCAGTGGGTTTCACCAAAGGGCTACATGTCTTTGATCTGCATCATTTAATTTGGACTTTCCTCCACCATGTCCACTGTTCAGCTGAAACAGCATTAAGCCTAACTCCCTCATTAAGTGCAATATCATTATGATCATGTTTTACCCTGATACAATGCCTCACTGTGTGAAGATCTGAGGACACCTCCATAAAAGATTGCATCAGATGAACCTTGAGTGAAGTTCAGTTTGTTTGATAAAGACCTACTAAGAATATACACAAATATTTATCATAACTTGTTTTGTGTGTAACTGCCTTTGTGCTCAGAAATAAAAGGGTGTATTACATATCTGCAACAATATGGTGGTACAGCCTTGTTTATCTATGTACAGAACTTGACTTTTAGTTTGTTTTTGAGATACAGATATCAAACATGCTGGTCTGAATGATTGCTCACTCGTTCCAAAGATGCATATGTACATGTATGCTCGTACCAAAAATGTAGAAACTTTGTTGCTGATTGATTGATTAGAAAGTTTGTCTTACATGATCTATGGAGGTGTCCTGAGATCTTTGTACTGAGATTTGTCATACGAGTGTAAAAGGTCTGATTTTAATCAGATTGGTGGACTTGTAATATTAAAAAATCATGAAAAGAAGACACAAATCGCATTTTGATCAGTTGAAATAATGCAAAACTATATATCATTTTAGAATCTACAAGGAATTATGATAAAACTAAATACATAAGTAGTCTTAAAATTCTGTGCCAGACAGTCAGGCAGGTGGAGTCAAAATTCAGCCCGACCAAAGACTTACTAGCCACTGGCATGGTGGCTGGCAGTTATTTCAGACATTGCCCTATAGACCACATCCATGCCCAGACAGACATGCCCACATCCACACCCACATAAACAGGAACCCTCACATTGCCATCACCAGATACCCATGTGTCACGACAAAAACAACAACCCACACAAGTTTCCAAATAATAAAAGCCACCATGATGTTTTCGGTTTTTGGGTGTGGCCTTAGCAACAAACCAAACAACTACACATCTTCGAAATGTCACAATGTATAGCTCCCCGTGAAGATCCGGGGTAGAATATGTCTTCAGCAACCCATGCATGCCGTAAAAGGCAACTATGTTTGTCGTAAGAGGCGACTAACGGGATCGGGTGGTCAGGCTCACTGACTTGGTTGTTGCATGTCATCGATCCCAATTGCGGGGATCGATGCTCATGATGTCAATCACTGGATTGTCTTGTCCAGACTTGATTATTTACAGACAGCATCATATAGCTGGAATATTGCTGAGTGCAGCGTTAAACAAAAAAACCCAAAAAAAACACAATGATAAGTGAAACAGTGACAGGTCCTACAGATAATGGTGACAGCCGAGGGGCAAGTTCCGTGGTGATAATTACTTGTTTTGTATCTTGATTACAGGTGTGACAACAATATGTTTCAGCCACCTGTTGAAATAGTGGAAATCCTTTATAACCTCGGAAACATCACGGAACGAATCAATCCAGCTGATGTAGCTATTTAAATGAAGATACATTGAATGAAGAAGAATATTGGCTGACATCTTCCCATGAATCAATAAAGTTTACTTGTATCAGGTGGAGGAATTTGCTGTGGTGGTATCACCAGGCAATTAATATTGTCAGTGTCACAACAAATTCACTGGCAGGAAAGTGTTATCTCTTGATTTCCATCCCAAATTGTGTTTGACATTGAACAAGGCTTTGTAGCCAAAACCATGTGTAAACAAGTGGCTTTGGACAAATAAACCATCACAGGTGATGAAGTGAAGAATTGGAAGATTCCCTTGTTTGAGACGCAGGGAACATATCAGTAGCTTATCAGGACTCTTCAGGTGAGTGGAAGTGTTTGTGGAAAATGTGTTATTTTAAACTTGCTACATCTTGTCATGTCAGTAAGTTTCTATAAAGATACTTACAATGTTGATTATTTATTCATGTATGAAAACACCTGTGAAGATCCGGGGTAGAATGGGTCTTCAGCAACCCATGCTTGCTGTAAAAGGCGACTTTGCTTGTCGTAAGAGGTGACTATGCTTGTCGTAAGAGGTGACTATGCTTGTCGTAAGAGGTGACTATGCTTGTCGTAAGAGGTGACTATGCTTGTCGTAAGAGGTGACTAACAGGACTGGGTGGTCAGGATTGCTGACTTGGTTGATGCATGTCATTGTATCCCATTTGCATATATTGATGCTCACGATGTCAATCAATGGATTGTCTGGTCCAGACTAAATTACTTACAGACAGCGCCATATAGCTGGAACATTGCCGAGTGCAGCATTAAACAACAAACAAACAAACAAACAAACAAATCTTGTGTGAAAAATACATGTTCATAGCAGCCACAGGGGAAACAATCATTTTTTGGCCAGACCATTTTTTTTTAACTGAAAAGATGTTTTTTAGCTCACCTGACTAAAAGGTGAGCATGGTCAAGAGAGTTATGTCATGGCCTGTGTATCTGTCATGCATTGTGTGTTCTCTAGTCAGCATCTTCTCAGAAAGTATTGAACGAATGAAGTTTAAACTTCACATACTTATTCCCACCAATGATAACACCCCAATTTATTAGAACGTGTTAAGGAAGTCCAAATCTGATTTTCAATATGGCCACTATGACAGCCATATTGAAAAAGCTTCTTGTGGCAATTACTGTCATTTTTGTTTAAACTTTAATTCAATTTGTTATGAGATTCAACACATTTATTACATTCCTTACAAATTTCAGATATGTTGACCTTGTTTTAACCATGCACATTCATTCTCCCTAAAGGCAGATTTAGCTTTGTATACTTATTTTCCTCTGATATTGCCAGACTGAGAGATCTGAAATGGTTTATATATTTCTCCTTATTATGACATATTTAGTTCAAATTGTTGGACTTTAGTAGAAATTATTGGAATGTCAACACTGCAGCACATTTTGTTTGGTGGCTGTCTTTGTTGAAAGTGTAAATTCTTGACTACATATCCAGTGAGATTCAATGCCTTGGTTTTATTTTTATTCATTAAAATGTTTATTTAATTTTTAATTTAGACAATGAACCCTAAGATCGTGAAGATCAAGGTTTTTGTCATTTTGTTTTCCTATGAATTCTTGACATATTTAGCATAGTCTGTCTTACAGACCCTGATACATTTATATCAACTACAGCCCATACAAGTCTATAATGTTTGGCAAGTCTAGATTACTGCAGTATCTGAAAATGAAGAGAATCACTGGGCTCCCTTTTTATTAGATTTTTATTAAGATAACTGAACAACTGTTTTTTCTGTATGATATGTTCATTTCAGAGACTATATGTTAGTCTAATATTTAGCACAAATATCTGAAACAAAGAATTGAATTGTCTGTACTTAATGATGTTAATTGCCAATGACAAGTCAATATGAATGGCAATAGTCATGTAGTCCTTGCCAAACTTGCCAATAGTTAAGTTATCATAAGGACTAGTAGAAATTTGACAGTTTTAAGGGTTTTGCTATATGCTATCATTATAAGGACTAGAGGACTGAAAATGTTAGTTTCTACCCCTGATGCATGCATCCTTTGTCCATCTGTCTAGACATTCATTGGTACCGATCATCTGGAAACTCATCAAAACATATCAGCAGGGCTGTAGGTAAGATTCATATTTTCATAAAATACGAAAAAATGCATCGCTCATTATCCAAATAATGTTGCGTTTCTTTCATACTGCTGATAACTACTAAGGCTAGCATTACCGCCTATTAACACCCATCACTAAGCAAAATGCAAAACGCGATTGCATAATACCATTAGAAAGAGTCAAGATTAACCAGTCATATGAGTTAAACACAAACCTTTTGATGTGTTAGCCAAGCCACATGGAGCAGCGCATAAAAACAGCACAAATTACATATCACGATTCATTTCATATCCTGTCTCTCGTATCATGATATGAATATCATGACATCTCTAATAAATAAATACTGTGGATCTTTTATTATGATGGTTATGATGTCAGCTTGATGGAGTGAGTGAGTTTGGTTTGACGCCACTTTTAACATTATTCCAGTTATATCGCGGCGTGTCAGCTTAATGTGGGAGGAAAGCCCGAAGTGATGCAGGTTTCAGACGTTTACCACTTTGATGAAACCCACGAGCACGGGTATGGTGCTGACAAACCTAGAAACATAATCAGGGCAAACTGGGATTCGAAGCCCACAATCATAGGTTTCTGGCGTGCCCAAGGGATGGAACTCTGCACAGCAAATCGTGGCACCTTAGACAACTGTGCCACCCGTGCCCCCCCAGCTTGATGGAGGAGGAAAGCCCCAAGTGATGCAGATGATGATGCAGATGATGATGATGATGATGATGATGATGATGATGATTGTGATTGCAGTTATGATGATGATCGTTAAGATGATTATTATGATGACGACAATGACAGGACATCACTAGGTCAACTTGGTGGTGTCAGACACAAGGCACTCAAGACACATGCATCAGATGACTGTAAGCTGTTACATGCACACAGCCTGTTGTTGTATTAACCATGTTGGTGATGTGAATGGTTTCTGTACAATATGGCCGAAACCTGTTGCACTGAAATGAATCAGAAATGTATGTGACTATTGATTGGAGCAGATTGTATTTTGTTGATATTTGGATAGAGACTTCCGTGACTGACACGTCCGATATAGGTGCCAGTGTTATGATTAATATTGCTTCATATAATACTGAGTGGGTGGGAAAGGAATGTTCGGTACGAGTGATCCATGGAAGTGTCCTGTTTGTCCTGTTATAGTGAAGGAGTATTGCTAAAGCTAAAATCATGTCCTTGATAACAGGACTGAATAGGACTGATAAGGACTGAAAAGGGTAAACCCCTAAAACCTGACTCCTCTTCCTTCCCCTCTCCATCCCCCCCCCCCCCCCCACACACACACACACACATTACATTACACACAAACACACATATGCACACCACAGAAAGTTAAACCTCTTCTACCCACTGTTTGAAATAAGCACCTGCCTGAGTGAGTGAGTGAGTGTGATTTTACGCCGCTTTTAGCAATATTCCAGCAATATCACGGCGGGGGACACCAGAAATGGGCTTCACACATTGTACCCATATCGGGAATCAAACCCAGGTCTTCGGCGTGACGCACCTACCTGAAGGCACCTGGCAAGTAGATTTCAAGTCAAGCCAGTGGTTTTGAATTTTTATGGGTCCTTTTGCTTATGGCCTGCAGTAAATTTTCTGTAGATTTATTTCTCACAATAAGCTGCAGTTTTTGTTTAATGAGGGCCTGAAGAGTTTAGCCAGGGTGTGCAGCTTCTAAAGTCTGTGGGTCCTGATGGCAGCCGGGCATTTTTTTATATTTCAAACACTGCTTCTATGACTTCTGACCCAAAAATACCTTGGATTGATACACTAGTACGATACCATAAAATTGTTCCAGGTAACATGTCCCAACATATTGTTGATACCACTGCATGTTTAAAAAATGAAAGACCTCTGCAGTTTGATTGTAGACTATTTTTTGCATTCTCTCGTTTGATATGGACTCAATGAAGCTAGGGTTGGGCAGCCTGGTGACTGAGACATTGTCTTGTTACATCCTGTTCATTGCTCCACTTCTCACTAGGTAGGGCTGGGACGGGTAGCTCGGGTCAGGTGAACTACCCCCTCTGAAACAACCCCCCAACCCCCTTTTGAAAACCAAATGAATATAGTCACATGTGCAATATGCAAATGATCACCGGTACTTCCGGCTCTCTACTCACGGATGTTGATTGTTTTACCGTGTCAGCTGGTTTGACAATCTGCATCGAGGAGAGGGTCATTTCAACTTTATTTGCAGAAATTATTAAACTTTATTCAAGGAAAAGAGATACAAATCATGTTTATGTATGGAAATAGTTATTTGAACAGTTATTTAGGACGAAATGCGAAGTTTTATTGTCAAATGCTGGGCTGGCTATCGGACGCCGGTTGACATCGCCAGTGGAAAAAAATGTGAGATCTTCGACTCCGTGTATAAGACGACCCCCCTTCTTAGCCCCCTCATTTTAGGTACGAAAAACTCGCCTTATACACAGCGATATACGGTAGTATGTTGTTGGCAGTAAAACTGACTGAGAGAGGATTTTGATAATTTGGATCCCTCCCTTTTATAAATGCTCGATCCGCCATTGGTTAGTCACGTAACATATTGTTTAATGGCAATAACAGCCACACTCCATGGTTACACAACAGCTCAGTTAATGTTCACTTTTCTTTCTGACTATGCACCAATTCCTTCTGGCTTTTGTATGTTTGAGTAAAGATATAGAGAATCTCACCCTCGTGTCTTTTGATATCAAATATATCAACATGAGTTGGAAAACTCCGAGGCTTTTATCAACGAGTGTTAATATATTTTATATCAAAAGACACGAGGGTGAGATTTTATTTATCATCCAACATCATTCTTCCAACTTTTTCAGTTTGTAGACAGTAATAAGCAATGTCTTAGTGTAAACAGTACTGCTAACAGCCGTACTTGCCATTAGTGATGTCATTTGATTGTGACATCATGGTAACCAATGATGTCACAATGGTCTGCAAAGGATTGTGATGCAATTTCTTTGCAGCGATATCTACAGTGTAGATATTGCAGCGATATCTACAGTGTAGATATCGCTTGATCTCACCCAAGCGATATCTCCTGTGGGAGCCAGTTTTGGATGATAAAAGGCTTCTGTCAACTTGCATGATCAGATCGTTTTATGTTTGTATCTAAGTAGTTTTTTCTCAATCGGACAGTTTGTTCACGATCTGAAAAATACAATCATGAAAGTGTATCCCGTGGATAAGCCGAC